ACAATCTGATAATTCTTTTAAAAACATTGTAATAATTGAGAGCCAGAAATAACAGATTGACACAGTAACTTTCAGATCAACTTAAAACATAATGAAACTTACTGGTATCCTAAACTTTAAGACTTGTTAAGAACTTATGCATCTCACTCTTTAACTATATAATGAACTGTTTGGTTGGTATTTCACCAAGTCGTGTATGAACAAAGCTCTCTATTTAGATTAGTTTGTTTATATAGATCGAGAAGATTTTTGTTTGAGAGAATTTTTTCATTAGGAGGTGCACATTTATGTCATTAAGTCACTACCAAACAATCATATATAGCTAATCAAATAAGCTATAAGTTTCGATGAAGTGATTAAGTTGGTAACATTAGACTTTAAAGTCAAGTTGGTGTGAACCTTTATTATATAAAGTACATATTCCAAGTTAAAATCTTGTAAAAGGTAAAAATGTACCTACGGAACCTACCCACTATAACCACTCACCAAAAAGATGACACCATTTCTATGTTATGTCTCTATTCACTTGAGATGTATGCTATGCGATGCACCTACTTTGGGATTCTTGATTTGGATTTCAAAATTTTAATATAAGAATTAGATCTCAAGTTATGTAAAAAAGGTGAACTGATTTTGTGAAAGTATCTGTTTCTGGGTACTGATTGATTATTTTATTTTGAGGTCGTGAAATATATGCTTTTGTTGTTATACAGTTTCATCCTGAAAATTCCAGTTATAGTTGTCATTTGAAGGTATTGCGTTAGAATGTTCCCAAGTTACGTCAAAGACACCAAAGGGCTTAGGGATCACCGAATATATAACTAAAATTTTACTTTCTGAGATGTTTTTTTTTGTTTTGTTTATCTTTATGAGTCTAAGGGGTCGTTCACCAAATGCTTATCCGGGTAAGCGCTTATCAAGTCATATTATCTTACCGGATGAATATGATAAGGACCAAGAATCTTACCCGGTAAAAGTAAGACAATGACCGTTTACTAAACACTTACTTGGTAAGTGCTTACCGGATGAACATGAGAAGAGTCAAGAATCTTACTGGGTAAGAGCGATGAGAATGATGGAGAATCTTACCCGGTAAGTGAGGATGACTCTTACCCAGGTAAGCGCTTACCCAGTAAATTGTTGCATTCGATATGTTTTGATGTACTAAAATCTTGCGTATCAAAATAAATCATAGTGTTGACTCATATCGGTAAGTGCTTACCGGGTAAGCAATTCGGTAAACGGCCCCTAAGAGTCTTACCCGGTAAGTGAGGGCGATGACTCGTACCACGGTTAACGCTTATCAGGTAAATTGTTCTATATGATGTCGTTTTTATTGACTAAAGTCTTACTCAGTAAGTAACTGATAGTGTTAGAATTTTACTGATAAACGCTTATCGGGTAAGTATTTGATAAACGACACCTAAGTAATTTTCCATCTCGTTTTCAAGGAGAAGATAGTAATTTTATTAATTCTTAAAAGAAACTATTGTAGAGAAAGGAAATCGTATCATTGACCATTGTAATAATTTTGTTTGACAAGAGAATAAATGATAATAAAACCTTATGCAATTTTTGTTAATAGTTTATAATATCTTATCTTATGCAAGAAAACAAAATAAATAATGTGAAATTTAGATTAAAAAAATAAATTCGATATTAATTAATGAAATATAATAATTAAAGATGAGTTATGACAAAATTATTTTCTGTAATAGAATGTGTACCAACTCATCTTGGTAGAATATTATGCATCCAAGTGGGAACTTGGGCATTTTCATAATGTTTTTATTGGTCCATTATAAATATGTTATAAAATTTAGAGGTTATTTGTTTACTTTTTAATAGTTTTATTAATATTTAAATTGTTAAGAAGTGAATATTTTTTGACAAAAAAAAAAGTTTGTCTCTTAATAGTTCTAAAACTCTTTGAATGATTTTGTATCTTGAGTCTCTCTAAACCATTCAGAGTCTTAATTTCATTCTGAATAATTATCAAACAACCATATTTTATTTTGCACTATATCATAAAAGTCTCTTCATCATTTTGACCACTTAATTATTCTGCATCAAACCATTCCATAATTACCAAACAGCCCCTTACCATTACTATCTAATACAAGGTTTTTCAAAAAACTTGCGTTTTAATTATAAATAAAACATTATGTGATCATCTTTACCCTTAAGAAGATAATTTACACAATTTTCATTTTAATTCTTGAAATAATAATTCTAAAAATACAATTTTGAACACTTTGTAAAATGTTTCACTAAAATACAACATTTTGTTGCGCTATGTGTTTTTTTATGGTTCAAACATGCAAAAATAAGTTATAGATCCAACCACGATTTATAATTATGTGTCTCCAACTAATCATTTTATATATTATATTTTTTTAAGATGAAAAAAATGGTTTGTTAACAAGATTTTAACATATTATTCTCTTCCAACGAAAAAAATCTATGAAATCTTCCCAAATTTATTATTAAATTTGGTCGGACCAAACGGTCTTGTTAATTATAAATCGGTGACCACTTTTTGTTGGTAAACTGGAATCTTTATATTTCATTTGTTTATTTAATATTAAGGGTGTGTTTGATACTTAATCAGATATAATAAGAATGGATGATAATGAAGTCTGTACAAAACTAGATTGAAAAGGTAAGAGTGATTTAGGTGGTTGAAAGAATTATGAAACGTTTCAGAAGTTTTAATTTGACATGTGCAGTTTAGTAATTTATTAATCTGGTTTCATCTCCCTAATTTTTGTTTCACCTATTTCGGTGGGACGAAAAATTGATTTTTTTTTTCTGTCACTCAGTTATGTTATGTCTCAGTCTAATATATAGAGCCAAATACGGGATAATAAGTTTTTTTTTTTTTTTATCATTTTTTATCTCGCCACGTGTACCAAACACATCATAAATTGTGACAATGCACCGTGGACTACCTAGGTGCTTACTCGCTTTCTCCTTGGTTTCTAAGGATCTACAGGTACGCATTCGTTTGGGCTACACTTTATTTAGTTTGGGGTCATTGAAATAACGTGGTTTTTCAGGGTAAGTTGTTATCTGAAGCACTGGCGGATCCACAACAAACCCCAAGAGTAGGTTTATTTATATTTTTGTTAACCTAAAATTATTAATAGGTCTGAAACAAATAAAAGTTAGACCCAATTCTAATTCTTGTCATCTCATTTTAGAACTCTTACTTGAAGGAGTCATTACTTGATCAATTAAACTCTAATTCCTCTAACTTCTAAAGTTTCAACCCGTTAAAATTCATTTTATTTCTCTTGTTTTGTTTGCTATAATATTAATAAATAAGTTATTTTTATTCAATTAAAGTGGACCTTAAAGCCGAAAACCGTATTGGTACGAAAGAGTTATTCGGTTTCAGATTTTTTTTTTTGACATCCTTAAAAGGTGCCCCCAATAATAAAAATTTATGGATCCGCCACTGATCTGAAGAGGCCTTTATTTGCGAAAATAAGAATTCAAGTACTCAAATGGACATAGAGACGATCTCGTATGGAGTCTCTCAAATGAGATCGTGGGGCCGCATCACTTCTCTCCCATCTCATTGTTCCCACTAAGCTACATTTTCTGTGTTGAGTTCGGTTCAACTTCTGAAATAAAAATAAGATGGTCACTTGTGAAATGTTCTATAAATTGTGACAACTCATTTCACATCGATGAAAAGTGGAATATGTAAGCTTATAACTCAATGATGTGGGACGATGCTTGTGCTAACTCGTCTGATTTGGATTAAGAATGAGATTTTTTAAGTATATAATATTTATTTTATGCACAACAAATGAACTCATACATCCTTTTCACATGTGGTAAAGTTTATACCTCTGATCTTTTGAGAGAATAAGCTTTATCAGTAACCCGAATACCGCTACGCTAAATGCCATTTGGTTTAAAAATAAGATTTGTGATTTTTTAGAGCATCCATAATATGAGGTTTTTGTAAGCAAAAACCGAAGTTCTTGTAAGTTACTATCATGGTGATGGGTTATTATAAGTTACCAATATATTTTGTGTTCTTCCTTATTTTGTGTGATTTTTAAATTTGTACTTTAAACCTTATCTTATTTTGTTTTAATAGCTTTAATTACATAATTTTTTTTAATAAAAGTTGATGTTGAAAGGTATATGGGATTATTGAACTAGTCTATTGTTTAGAACTAGGCAATAATATGCAATTATCGAAGATTTATCCTAATTAATACACTGATGATAACCGATGGCTTAAGTAATACTCATCATTATGATACGACCATTGATTCATTAAAGACAATAATGTACAACCTTTAAACAATCGTCAACCGAGATGCTATAAAAGGATTAGGAGCATGCAAGCCAATGACAACAAATTACAATCTGATTACCGAGTGTTTTCAAGAATACAAGTTATTACGTGACGAACAAGGTGCAAGACACTCCAAGTAATTTTACTGTTTATTTTTGTTAGTTTTCACACGACACGCCATGGTTTCCCACGACCAAACCTTGTAATAATCGTCAATAAAAACGATGTCACTGTTTGACGTCCATAGTACACCGACGTCCATTGCGTCGTTGGATTTAAGTTTTTCATTCCAAAAAACCTGATCAAACTATTGGTTTGAATGGGAAAAAAGACGTTTCTTGTATTTTTATTGTATTAGAATATTTATGTCACTACTTCACTTTATTTATAAGGAATGTTTTATCCATTTCCTTGCTTTCTGGCAAAGTTGAAATGACACATTTGCCCCTCATAAATGTTTATAAAACATGATTTTAATAACACTAAAACATGATTTTTAAGAGATAACTATTGCGTATATTGTATATGATAACAATCAATTACATATACACCCTTGTGTTATTTGGTAGTTTAAAAAAAACCTCCAAACAAACTATCGAACTCTTTTAACCCGAGGTGTTTTACGAGCTAAGAATTTATAGGGTTATCGAAAAAACACACATAAAAAAAAACACACAGTCGTGGAACTATTAAAAATATTTCATTACAAATAAGAAAAAGAAGTAGAAATCGAGATAATGTGCAAATTTAGTATCCGATGGCAACGAAAGGTGTAGGAGAAGGAGAAGCAGAAGCAGAAGTAGGAGAAGGAGAAGGCCAAAACTGTGCATTCTTCACCTTTGAGATACTGGAAAGAACACTCAATGGAGTTACATCTCCGACCACCGTCACCTTCTTTGATTCCAAATCTATGTGAAATGATTTCACTCCTGCATATGCATCCATCAACACCAAAATCACATATTTTTTTACTAATTGATTAAAAAAAAGATAAAAAATTTATTTTTAAAAGATGTTTATTTTCATCAGACTGTGTTCTTGAAAATTTATCAGATAATTTTCAACCTGAGGTTTAACTTATGATCAAATTTTGGTCATTTAAACAGGTTCAATTACATAATACTGTATGTGAGACAAATATGCCTTTAAACTGTCAGTTAATAAATATTATTAAAAAAACAATTTAAATATTGAAAAACATAAATAAAGGTTACAAAAAAATAAACATACCTTCCATTCTTGAGATGTGTTTTCTTACTTTCCCTTCACATCCTTTGCAATGGATCGAAACCCTCAATTCCACAACCTGCATAAACCATTTTTCCCATTTTATTTATTTTTAAAAATCTAATAAAATAATTATATTTTCGGTTTAAAAACATATTTTATTTAATATATAAGGATAAGATTCGAACTAAAAAGTACGGATCCATTTATATTTTATAGAATTAAATAAATTATTTTTATAATATATAGATTCACAAAACAAAAGGGTAATTTTAAATTCGAATTTAAAAAATATTTTGTCTGAATTTTTTTTGAATACCGTAATATTCCGCATCTTTAAACCGTTATTCCACACGAAATATATTTATTTAATTCGAATTAAGAGGCATTAATTTTTTTTTTTAATTTTAAGAATTATTTCGGATTATAAAAAAATTTAATTAATTTGCAGGAAAAAAACAATTTTTTCTTTTTGGTAGCGATTTTTAAGGTAAGCAGCCATTAGCAAACCTGGTCACGGGAACGGGACCTCGAAGATTTGGAACCAGGAGATTCCGTCGGAGCATCCAATCGGAGCGACGGTGATCTTGATTTAACCAACGCCGGCGAATCATAACCACGAGACCGTCTCGACGACGATAAAGACTTCTTGATCACCGGAGAATCGGTTTGATATTCCGGCCATGCCGGTTCGCTAACGACCAGTGCGCCGGCGTTACAAACATCATCGGAATCCTGAAGATCTTCAATAATGGTGGGGTTGTTCAAGAGATATCTAGACGACGAACCTCGAGGAGCATCTCTATCATTTATATCAGCACTGCTTTTCCTCCTTGCTACCAAAGCACCCTCATCACCAATTCGAGCAACAGCACTCTTGGCGGTGGCGGTGGTGGTGGAGGTAGTGGTGGCGGAGGAAGTACTCTTTCTGATTTTCTGGAGGTAAGCGGTGTAAGGTTTGGGATCAATGTGGTGTTGAGATGTACAAGGGATTGCAGGTACTTTGAATTTGGGTTTATCTCCGAAATCAAACTGGTAGTGGTTATTGTAGTATTGATGGTGGTGGCGGTGGTTTATGGGTCTTGGGGTAGAGCCGCCGCCGCCACCTCCTCCGCCACGGCGGACCATGGCATGCTGATTCATGGTGGTACATATGGCGGTGGACGCCGGAGATGCACAAAAGAGTTCCGCAGTCTTGATCTTCATATTGAGTGATGGGGTGTGAGAATGAAGTTATGAAGGTGTTTGTTCCTCTGGTTTATAAAGTGGTTTTTTTTGAGGGAGGGGGGGGGGGGGGGGGGTGATTTGGAAATTAATATTTAACAAAAATAGGAATAAAAATAAGGCTTTTTAAAAAAATGAGAGAAATAAAAACGACACCTCATGACTAGACATTATTTATATATATATATATATATATATATATATATAATAATTCATCTCTTCTCCCTCTCTCTCTCTCAAAAAAGAGAAAAGGAAGAGATGAATTATTATACAACTCATTATATTTGTACAACCAATACAACTCAATCTCAATCGTTCATTTAATTTGATAAATATGAAATTATATAAAAGTTTTAATTGTTTTATAATATAAAGCATTGATTATAATTAATGAATCTTATGGATCTTTCATAAATATTTAAATCATAATAAACTAACTCTTATCAATTCCATAAATATTTCAATTTATTGAGTTGTATTGGTTATACAAATGCGATAAGTTGCATTTGAAACAAACTATATATATATATATATATATATATATATAGATATATAGAACCGAATTGATTTTAATTAGAATCCAAGTAGAATTGGGAAAACAAAATTAACCGAAACAAAATCTTGATCATAGTTATTTGGACTGTGACGTATTGGTTAAGGATAAGAATGATGTAGGAGAGGGGCTTAATATTTATGAACTCGTGAGGTCCATCTTAAATCACTAATTTATAATAATTAATGAGATAAGTGCTTTTTTTAAGAAAAATATTCCCCTCTTTTCTCTCTTGATACAAACATACCCATTCACAATTAAATATGTATTCAACATATTGTAAATATGATGAAAACAATCTTAAAAATTCCATATTATGGTGTTTACAATATATTCATCACTGGTATGTTTATATTTGATTTTGTTGTTTTAATTGGTGTTCACAATATGTTTACAAGTTATATTGAATTTTGTAAATTTAGAATGTGTTTACAAAATATTCATAAATTATAGTAGTATTTCTAAGAAAATGTAAACAATATGTTTACAGATTATAATTGTATTTCTAAAAAGTATTTACGATCTTTCTCAAATTATAATAATATTTCAAAAAATTGTTCATAAAGAGATGAAATAGAAAGTTTCTCAAATTAAATTTATTCTTAATTAATTTTTTTGTGTTCTAAATTCGATCTTTTTGATTTCACGAATTAACAAGTTTTTAAAATAAGACCATGTAAAGAAAATCTCATTTTTTCCATTTGTGAATACATGTGTTATCAAAGCCTTTATGACTCAAGGGTTTTATCAATGTACATAAAAGCTAAACTAAAAATACATTTCGACTCAATTGAATATTAATTGAATTACGTTGTTTAAGGGTTTAGATATAAAAAATAGTGACGAAACAAACATAGCCAAAATTGATATTGATTAGTTCTTACGTGAAAATCATGTGATCATATAAATCTTCTTTTTTCAAAATATACATTTATTACTAAATTTAAAAATAAAAAAAATTATAAACAATATAAGAAAATACAACCTCACAGTTAAATCGCTAAATTCCAACCCTTAATTCTTCTGTGATTAATTTGTTGATGTAAATAAAAATATTACTAATAAATTAGAATTAGTCACAATCACAACATATAACACAGACACCACGAATAAATAATTCTTATTTTAAAAAAGACAAATAATTAAGGATTGTTGTTTTCTAAACATTATTTTTCATTATTTTAAAAGCTAAATTATTTATTGTATTTTTATAATCAAGATTTTGTTGAAACTGATCTTCAATTAAACCAGAGTCAAAACAATTAAGATAAAATCATGAAAATTAAAAGTTATTAAGATAGAATCACAATATTATAAGTTATTAAAAGAGAATCACAAAATTAAAACATATTAGGATAGAATCACAAAAATTTGAATTTATGAAATAAAATCACAAAAATTAATAATTAATAAATCAAATTGCCCCTATAAAACCTATCACAAAAGTTAGAGATTACTAAAATAAAGTCACAAAATTAAAACTATCAAAATAAAATCATAAATTATAAAAAGAATTAAAAATCATGAAATTAAATCGGTCCTAAAAAAATAAAACCTTTTTAAATTGATGAGAATTGAATATAAATGTAAAACTATATTTTTGGAGCCAATATTTTGTAGAAAAAACGAAAAATTTAGGATATAATCAAAAAAATTAAAAATTATTAAAATAAAATCTTACAATTAAAAATTATTAAAGTAGAATCACAGAAATTAAAGATTACTAAAACAGCAAAACTGTTAAATCAAATCTGCGATATTGATCGAAATTGAACCTAAGTGGAGAAATAATTAATCTGTTTATCAAAACAATCACAAACATAATATAGTGTAAATTGAAGTGTTGGAGGCGCTTGTAGCATACAATAACGTGTTTAAATAGATGAAATAAGAATACAATCGGTTCATATTAATATCTAAAAAACCTGTCATTAGTTATAAATACAAACATTAATAAATTCTAAGGCAATTTGTTTTTTGATTAACCTGGATATCCAACCCGCTATGCGAGCCGACTAATCCCAGGACGACCATTTGCTCAGATGTGAAATCTCAAACATTTTAGACCAAAGTAAGTTCCATCAATAGTAATCAGATAAAAATACGTTGTCATTTTTATACTAAGTTTACCTAATAATCTTCAATCAACTTAATATTATGATGAAAGTTATTGGTGGCTTACGACTTGAAGTTTATCAATTGATGGTACAACCATAGTGTAAAACAATAATCTAGCACAATAACTTATAATTCAACTTAAAATCATGAAAGTTATTGTTATGTCACGAAGTTGCCTTAATAAGCTCGCATATGGCTTTAACTCTCGAAATAAGCCAGACAAACTACAAGAATACCAAACAATAACGTCAAAGAGGTTGGAAAAACTGTATGATTGTGATTTATAAATACAGGGCTACCATGTATTTATACTACTCTAACCACGGAATTCTATCGACACTTTTCTACTAGATATTTACAAGTAGTATGCTAACACAAAGACTAAACATATACAGATCCTTCTGTCATTCTTCTTATTAGTCTAGAATATTCCAGATTCTCGAACAGCCTTCTTGCATGACGTGACATTTAGCTTACAACTTGAGTCTTAATACATATTGACAGAATTATCTTAATACAGATGATGAAATTCATCTGTTTAAATATAACAGTTTTAAATATTAAGAAAGAAAAAGAAAGCAACGGGTACAAAACTTTAGAGAGGAAATGAGTGAGCTTTTTAGGTCTAAGTGATGGTAAATTATTGATTATAGTCTTTTGAGAAGATGAACTTTGGAAGCCATCATCTCCATTGAAACCATTGCCCCCAAAGCTTAAAGCTTTAAGTAGTCATAATTGCAATATCATTGTTAACCCCCCCTTCATCACAAAAGCCTATTGAATTGGATTTGAGTTCACTCTCAATTTTGAATTAATGGGGCAACTTCTATGGTCATTAGAGACTTGCAACTTTCTTGCATGTGATTCTTTTTCTTTATTTCCCTTTATTTCTATATTTTTATTATTATTTCTTTATAACGATTTATAAAAACAGTTTAGAACCACAATGGTGGTGCCTGATTGGTTTGAGCTTGACTCCAAAGGTCAAAAGTATCAGGAGGTCCCAAGTTCAAATCCAAGGAGGAATGAAAATCCCCTTGTGGCCACGGAGGTTCAAATGTGATGACTTCGGGCTATCTGCAAAGCAGGTGACCGCCCTGGAATTAGTCGGCTCGCATAGTGGGTTGGATATCCAGGTTAATCGAAGAAAAAAAAAACAGTTTAGTCATTTTATCATCTTATTTGGGTAAAACGTTGATTATCCACAACCCTAACCGGTCATACATGAAACTTGCATCCGAGGACATCAATGTAAGGGGACATACAAAACATTGGTATAAAAGAGTTGCTTTGACATATAGTTCAGTTAACAAAGATGAACTGTATATTTTCTTAAATACATGACGGGTCTTGGGTTTGATCCAGGACCCTTCGTTAGTTTCAGCTGTTGAGTGAGTCAAAAAGGTTTTCTCATATCAATACCTTAAAAAGCAGGTTTCATGTGAAGTCATTTAAGATGGTCTGTGATTAAAGTTTTATCTAACTATAAGAATTAGAGTTTGACTGAAAATGAGACCAAGAAGCAGAAGGACGTTGTGTTTTGATAAACAAACAGTTTGTGTGCATCAAATTAAGACAAAAAGAACAAATTTCTGCATCAATAAACATGGAAAAGCTTCAAAATTTATGTTCACTTTATGGGGTCAAGTGTCAAATTTAAAATTCTTTACCATGTTGGTTTTAATTATTTTATCCATTTTTTTATAATTATTTTGATGATTCAGATTTTATTATATTTCTTTAATATCCATGTTTCGTTTTTAACTTTAGAAATTATTTTCTTATTATATATAAATTCATGTAAAAATCTAAAATAAATTATTTCTCAGATATCAAAATGAATTATACTAGTTTTTTTAAAAATAAATTTTAATTTTGAATTGAATTGAATATTAGATCATATGTTTTTGGTTTAGATTTTTTGGATTTAAAATCAAAAAATTATCAATTAAATTATAAAAACAAATATTCAGGTTATAAAAAATATGGTAGGTTAATTTTGATATAAGATCTGGCAAAAAAATATTTATTAAATTCCATAAATTGAGTGGTGTGATTGAAATAGACAAGAGAAAAGCCAAAAAATAAGCAATAATTTACAGAGATTAATATAAAAAATAGGGAAATAATTAGAGATTAATTAGAATGGAGAGATACTGAATTCCTTATTCACGTGAGATTGTGTGTGCATATATAATATTATTTTGTCTAATAATTAATTTCAATAATTAACTAATTACAAAATTGTTATATATATATATAGACTTGGGATCATGTGAGACCAAATGTTTTTCGTAAGACCCGTAAGACC